TTTTATCTCTCGTTTATTTAAGAAACGGGAATCCGCCTATTCACCAGATTCAACAATTCTATAGGTTGATGCGCGTCAAAATATTTATAATGTCATTCTAAGTCTTAAAATAGTTTATAGACCTTGGAAACTGTTTCAGCTCAATTATGAATTTAAAATATGAAGGGAAGAATAGTGTAGCCTATATTTTGTTTGACTGCGTTTTCGCAATTTGCTGGCGTTAGCATGGCGACCGCGTAACGCACCTTATCCGGAGTCATTTGCCATAGTAATTGTAATAAATTCCATAGTCGTATCATGGACTTGGAAAATTTCCAGACTTTTCGTTGTCATCATTGTCAGCATTATCGGTGAGCCTTACCAAAACTACGATTCGCCAAAGAAACTGCTGGAGTAGATCACTCGATCACCTTCCTGAAATTATACATTTACCTATCTGATAGCCTCGTATCGCTTCAATCACTTCCACAACCCATGACCTGTCTATTACCATCTCTCGGCTTACAGTCGGGTCGCAGGACGGTGATCCGAGGACCTCTTCGCACAATACAACAGTTCCCTACGCGGCACTTTTCCTTCGGCTTCTAGTAAGACCACATCGCGAATTCCTTCCAAGCAACTTTAACTTCAAAATGGAAAGTCATGTCACAATATATCACTAAGGGATTGTTAGAAACCCGATTTTTTTTCATATACTCAATTAAGTCACTATGAGTGCATTTTCACTATTTTAAAGGAGAAAAGTATATTATCACTTCGTAAAAGTGACGAAAGAAACCTCTTCCATAGAGAGCTAGACTTATCTACTTCCAGGTGAGGCTCGAGGCTACCTGAATGCGTCCTTATTCACTGCTTATGTTTGTCCATCTTTTATGCACTATTTAGGCGAGCCAGAAAGCTTACAACGGGCCCTTCAAGCTCGATACTCCCGCGCAAACTCTCCTGGCGACGAACTAGTCGCTTTTAGGATTCCAATTGGTCAGACAACAGAATCAGGTGAAATTCGTAATACTGAGGACAGTCTGGGTATCCGACTCGTGGGCCACCGTAGACTTTCTTTTCATGCGACATTTGTGGCTGGCTTACGTGATGGATCTATTGCTGCTAAAATTGGCCAGCTGAGGCCTGGAGATGAAATTGTTCAGGTAATAATTTTATGTGCTTTCATTAGTTTGCCTTCAAATTGCTAGTTTATTTTGCTGATTTTAGATGGAATGAATAAAGAAAGTTAAGCCTAATGGCACGAAAATTTGGGAGATAAGAGACTTAAGCTCGTGTATCTCAGCCTTTGTATTTATATTTCCTTTGACTATATTTTGTTTCTCTATTTTATTTTAATCCTATCGATCTATCTATCTAATTACATTTTTTGCTTTTTCATTTATTTTCTCCTCCTTATATATATCTTTTTATTATCTATCGACGATTGCATATTTTCAATAAAACATAATAGCAACCATCTTTGTAGATGTATTGAATCAGCCCAAATCTTCATCGCATTAGTTTATCCCCTTAACGCGACACTAACTTTTTCCTAAATGTATCCCTTCTCCTTGAGCTATCAATTGGCCCTTGTCATCACATTCACTTGAAAGCTAATCCATTATTTCACACACCAATCCTTTCTATTCACCTTCCCCTTTCACACAAAAGCCGTCCGTGAACCGTAAACCTTCATTATCCAGACCAGGTTTATTTCATCTACACTTTTGATTGCTGCGAGGGTAGTTAACTTCTCGTCTCCTGTCTTGATACCTATCTTCAGATTCGGAATCCTCCGAAGGCCTTATTGATAAGAGCCCCAATCTGAACTTAACTTTCATGGAACAACATTCCAGCTTTCATGTCGCATCTTCACAGTCGACTCTGGAAAAATTCAGCTAATAGTTCTTCATCACCTTATGAGATCTAGAGGGAGTACGATCCTTATTCATTACTTCTTTTTTATGTTCCTGTCAATTCGCTCTTATTTCTTGCTACTGCCTCGATCTTGATTTCTATTTGGAATTTTACTAGTTAGAGCTCTTAAGAACAGGCTCTAGTTTAGGCTCTTTGCATTTATTTAGCTGGATATTTTGTCATTTCGATAAAAAAATTTTATACCTAACGTTTTAATTCTGACTTTTCTGTCCAGGTGAACGACATTTGTCTACTGAACATGCTTCATCTTAATGCCAAGCTGGAGATCGCGAAACAGTTGAGCAAGATACGCCAACAGGCCGCCTTGCGTAAGTGCCCTCCGATCCGGACGCAAACAGGGACCATGTGTATCACCAAGCCTGATAATGAGTTTGGGGCTGACGAAAGTTTGGTGCTCGTTGTTCGACGTAATCCGGCAAATCCTAGTTTGATGGCTATGCCCAGCGTTCTAGACCCTACACACCTCATCCTACCTTCAGCTAGTATCACCTCTACCCAACTTGGCCCTTCTGCTGCCCATACACAAGAACATGCACCCCTCCCCAAACCTATTCGGCTTCCAGTGGCTACCTCCGATCTATTGGACAGAAAGGCAGATTCCGAGCTGACAGAGGTTCGTTAGATACATAAAATCTAAGATGCTTGAGAGGCAGAAACCCTCTAATATTGCTTTAGATGTGTATTCTTATAGACGTATTCCATAGGCTACCGTATCTAATACTTGTGACCGGTTTTGAACCTTTGATCTGGTGACGCAGAATTTAATGCATCTTATATTAATCGGTTACAATGCAGATATGGTTTTTAGGGCGAACTTCTTAGCCGAATCTATGTGAAGACAC